TATATGTTCGCTTTCCTCAGCAGCTGAGCTCAGGAGTTTCCTATACAGTGTTGGAGTATGAATATATGTAATCGCTTTCCTCACCAGCTGAGCTCAGGAGTTTCCTATACAGTGTTGGAGTATGAATATATGTTCGCTTTCCTCACCAGATGAGCTCAGGAGTTTCCTATACAGTGTTGGAGTATGAATATATGTAATCGCTTTCCTCACCAGCTGAGCTCAGGAGTTTCCTATACAGTGTTGGAGTATGAATATATGTAATCGCTTTCCTCACCAGCTGAGCTCAGGAGTTTCCTATACAGTGTTGGAGTATGAATATATGTAATCGCTTTCCTCAGCAGCTGAGCTCAGGAGTTTCCTATACAGTGTTGGAGTATGAATATATGTAATCGCTTTCCTCACCAGCTGAGCTCAGGAGTTTCCTATACAGTGTTGGAGTATGAATATATGTAATCGCTTTCCTCAGCAGCTGAGCTCAGGAGTTTCCTATACAGTGTTGGAGTATGAATATATGTAATCGCTTTCCTCAGCAGCTGAGCTCAGGAGTTTCCTATACAGTGTTGGAGTATAAATATATGTTCGCTTTCCTCAGCAGCTGATCTCAGGAGTTTCCTATACAGTGTTGGAGTATGAATATATGTTCGCTTTCCTCAGCAGCTGAGCTCAGGAGTTTCCTATACAGTGTTGGAGTATGAGTATATGTTCGCTTTCCTCATCAGCTGAGCTCAGGAGCTTCCAAAGCTCGAGTAAAAGTGTACAGAAATCAATAAGAATTTCCTCTCAGAATTTTCATATTGTCACCACCAACACATGTAGTTGACCATATGCATACTCCCTCCCAAACTGTCCAGCAACTACCTTTGAATTCGAGAAGATGTCGACTTCATCATGATTTGGTGTTGGCAATATGAAACTGAAATATTCATTCGGGAATTTTGTGCGGCATTTTTTTATATTCGACTTAATTTCAACGTATGCACTCATAAGAAAGAAGTCAAACGTGCCTCACTCACACTTTACACGTTATTAATATCCAATAAAAAAATAAATTTGATTCTAGTGCATTGCAGTTTCACCACAACAACTACGTGAAGTGGCGTCGTCAAACTCGGTGAAAAACTAGGCGATATTCGCGGTGATATGCAGTAGTCGTGAAATATGTTTTTCATAT